CGGCAGTCAGCACAAAATCTTACCATTCTCAATCTTTAACCATTTGGAAACACCGGGGCAATTGAAAGCGTGCCCTTCTCCATGTACATGCTCCCCGCCCCCACTCCCCCACTCCCCACCCCACCCCCCCTTCCCTGAAAACCCCCCAAACATACCTTCAGTTGACCAATGGGACACCGTACACGCAAGCGATAGGTATGAATCGATGAAGCCACCAATGCATGGGATGCTTCGAACAGATCTGCCGATACTCGTAGCGTGGCACAGGCGAGAGATTTCCGCTTAGAGCATGCCGACGCAGCGGTTGCGTGCACGCGCAGACACATGGCCACCCCCGGCGGCTGCGGTGCAGCCCCCAAACGAAGATTTATTCAATGAAAGGGGAGAAGCCCATCCCTGGAATCGGTATGAATCGTCGAAGTCACCATTGTTGGCGCCCGGGCGCCATGCAATATTTCATGCGGACGATTCGAACAGATCTGTCCATGCTCGGTAGTTTGGGGGGCGAACACAGCCGAGACATCTTCGCGTCGCGAGTGCCGGCGAAGCGGTTGCGCATACGCACACTCATACGGCCACGCCCAGCACAGCAGAACTGCAGTTCTTGAACCTCAAATTGCCCGGCAATTGCGCCGATGGGAGCACGGGCCGCCACAATACCGATACCCCCGCACATGCAAGTGCGCATGCTTCCCCGGGGATCGAAGCTGGAAGGCCAACATGGAATGCGGCCAATCGCGAGTTTGCAGACAAAACGATCTCGCCCAGCCGTCCTTCATCGGAGCATTGGATTGTGGGACGGACCAGAAACATCCGCGCAACGCTCTCGCCTGATGCGAGGAATGTAGGCCCAGTTGGGCGGGACCCGTGCGCCCGGATTGGAGCGATGGCGCGTTGGTTGCGTCACACACGATTGGCTCAAGCGCGTAATGCGCAACTCTCGTGAAGCCCGCCCAGCCAGAGAATCGCGCAACGCAGCGATCGCGCTGCAGTGTGTTACATTCCTCTCATGGAGCTCAAGTTGTTAAGCGCGTGTTCACAGCACAGCGGTGCAGTGCGCCGCGCCCATTCTCACGGCCCGCATCGTGGGTCCCCTCCCCAGCGCATGGGGCACCCCGATGCAATGACCAAACGTCAAGCCCTCACCTTTCGCCTTCGCGGATTCGCCCAGTTCCAGCCCATTCGTCTCTATGGCCGCGCACGCCAGCGCCAGGAGCAGCAGAACGCGAATCGCCATGGCGATGACGCAGCCTCGAAGTCCGCAGTCGCGGCGGAAGTTTCTCCAATGGACGAGTGTGCTGATGCCCAAGGGCATCCAGCACGCGCTTTAAGTATCCGAAACCAAGACCAACTACTTGGCTGGTACCACAACGTCACAACGTTATGGTACTGCTGGCGTGAGGCCGATGTTCCATGCAAGGGCAATGAACTTCGCATGACGCTCTTATGGATGTACGCCATGTGGGCTCAACGCCACGCGAGACCAGGGTACGGGCGCACTGCAGTACAGGACACGCCCCCCCTTTGTTCGTATGCGAATATATAGGATCATCCCAAGGTCAATACATAAGATATACAAGATCATTGCTGGTTCCCAGCGTCGCTGCTCCTTTGAACTGTCAGTCACCAGGCCAGGGGTCGCTGAGCGATTGGACGCTTGGCATGCGGCTTCGCGCTGAGCAGCCAGGGAGTCGATGCAGAAGGGGGTCTTCGTCAGCAAAGACAGCTGATCGGCGCCAAGGGGTGCAGACCTCGTGGATCACTGTACCCGCATTTCTTGCGTCGGCTGCTCTTTTGCGGCGCTTCCGCGAGATTCGGGGATCAGAGTACCGCATTTCAGACTTTGGTTGTCTATCGATGAGCGACGTACCGGAACCTGTAGATCTCCAGAAATCGACAACATTGGGCCGGTCGGGGCAAGTTGCTCGCCGGCAAATGACAGTAGCCCCGTCTGGTTTACTGAACTGGACGCACAATGAAACATTTGCCATCTGTCTCCTGGCAAAAATTCACTAGAAAAAAGGGCCAAATAACACGTGTGCAGACGTGTACAAAGTTTACGGGTTTGTATTAATTTTTGTGTTCTTAGCGTGCAAAACTTTGATGAAATGTGTTTTATGTGTGTTCGCGAAAGTGTCATTTGGCCCTTTTTCATAGTGATTAAGATCACTCTCGGCGGCGGCCAAGCGGAAGGTGCGTTCCGCTTCTTCAGGAACTGTGCCGTTGATGGCAACGAAGATCGATGCCCAAACTGGCGGCAAGTCGTCCAAAATACACAACGCAAAGCAATGTAACGTCGGGCTGATCCGCGCTGTTCCATATTGAAACCTTTTCAATTGGCGCTCGATTCCGTGCGATTGATGTCTAGTAGAACGTAGAAACCGTTCTGGTGCCTTTCGAAAGCGGAAGAAGGCCGCTTCTTGTGTTCTGGACGTCAGAGTGAAGCACATGAATGTCGATAACGATCAGTACACCGCTGTGCACTTAAGGTGATATGTGTACCTTCATGAATCACGCGAAAGGATGCTTCCTCTGTCCCAAACTAACGTCTTCCATGACTTTGGCGCCTCACTTCTTCATAATGGAAATGTAGGTTGTAAGTGGAACTATGTCCAAATTGACGCCCATGAATTCCAAGATTTCACAAGCTGCGTGCTTTGGAAGTTATATTCACTAGGGAAAAGGGCCAAACAACACGTGTTCAATCATGCACAAAGTTTACGGGTTTGCGTTACTTTTGTGTTCTTAGCGTGCAAAAACTTTGATGAAATGTGTTTTATGTGTGTGTTCACAAGTGTTATTTAGTTTTTTCTTTCCTAATGATCAATCATCAGCCCTTGCGTTTCAGAAAAGAGCATTCCGTTCAGAACATCGATGGCAACTGTCGGCGGCAAATGCAACATGTCCATCGCCACCTGCCAAGGGGTACCCAAGGGGTACAGGCGGCCTAAATTCCAGTTTGTTAGTTTAGTATTTTCACGAAAGGACCGCGATTGCGCACACTTATTAGCTGAATAGCATGGGTTGCGTAGGTGGGGAAGGCCTCGTTTCTTGACCCAGGAAACAGCGTGTCATTCTGTGCATTGCATTTCACTGGTACGGCAGCAAAACTGTGGCTACCGGCGGTACGCAGGGGAATGGCTACACCAGTTTTTTCGTGAACCGGAAAAAGGACTGGCAGTGGCTCTCGCGAGGTACCAACGTCGCTTCTGAGGTGCAAAGACAGCCTTTTTTTGTCATGTTTGTGACAAATGTAATCAAAGGATTTGAGGGCCTCCCGAGATTCTAAATTCTGGTGCCAGCTGCCCTTCCACAGGCAAGTCCTGTGTGCTTTCTTCCAGTTGAACATAGGTAAACACTGTTTCATTGGGATATCTGTGTCTTTCCTTCCTGTGCAGTAAAGTAAATCTGCTGATATCGTCGGAAACTATTGACGTCATGCCGTCCATTGCGGATCCATATCTTTAATTTAAGACATTCCCCGAAGAACCACCTGCTGAATGTACGTTGATCCTCATATGGGCAGACCCCGTATCAAACACATGCTGGCCCTGCTTTGGAGGCCCATCAGTAGTGTTCCCACCATTGAAATTCGCCACCCGTAAAGTCGCGCAAAGTGAATGGAATTGACCCCTCCTGGAGAGGGATAGTCTTCCCTTCATTGATTGTTTATGGAAAATGCGGCCAAATCTCAGGAATAGAACAGTGCGGAGAGAGAAGCACGGAGGCTTCCGTGTTCATTCCTTTGAAATTTGCAATTGCTTGTGGCGGTGAGATTTACGATGGCCAGTATATGGTAATTCCACAATTTGTGGGAAATCTGAGAGCAGTACCTTCGTACTAAATTCCTAGGAAATCTGCAAGTGCTTGTAAGCGTGCGATTGACAATGGCCAGTATGTGTTAATCAAACAATTTGGAAGAACATGGACGCCAATGGCACACAGCACTAGGTAGGAGCAGGGACTCTACAAAATTAGTTCAAAACTAGCAATTTACTTATTGCTATTACTGTAAACTACATATATCCCGAGCATCAAAACATAAACATCACATCTAACACGCTTCCCAATGTTATTGACTTCGTCCAAATATTCGCAATTACCGCTCGTTCTTTAAGGGGACGCTGTGGGCATGTGCTGCAAACATGTGCTAGCAGGTCAATGAAACTTGCCGTGCTAAGCACTCACAGATGACAGTGAAGCTAAAATCTTCTGTCTGTATTGTTCTGACTTGGGATGACCTCATTCTGCCCAACGCTTCCTCGACGCTAATGCGAGCGATGTTGGGACAGCGACTTTCATTCTGCGGTCAAAGCACTGCGGTGTGGAACGTGGCGCATTTGCCGGAGTTCTGGCATTTTTGACGAAACACACAATACCTGTTTTCGACTCCGGTGAATAGTACGAGCCAACCGAATGGAATCGCAGGTATGTGACATCAAATGGGTATAGAGAATTTGTTATTTGCAATTTAAAATGCAGCGAATGCGTAAATTTGTTAGTAAAAGGTGAACATGGCATTGTAACTCGACGCAGGCTAAAGCATATCACGAAGTTGCTCATGCATTTGCCGTTATCCTCAAGCCAACCTAAAGTGGTTAAATTACATTGAAAGCACACGTCATGCCAGGAAATGAAATACCATATTACATGTGTTCCTTCTGATCCAAGCCTCAGAACCTGGTTTTCTCCAACCCCTGTTGCATCTAAACGATCTAGCGTGAATTTCATAATTACAGAAATCGTAAGTACCTAAAAGTATGCACATATGCAGAACACAACATCCAACGCCAGAACCTAATACTCATTCGATCGAACGTAGTGAAAGCAAGCAGCCGTCCCAGCCAGCTGTTTACCAAAAAAACACATGACGCCCTGCAAGGGCTTGCTTCCCAGACGGCGTCTTCTTCAGCACCACCGCTGCTCATATAAGTAGCCATGCTTTACTTCTTGCAGTACTTCTTGTGGTAGTCGCTATCCTCGCAACATTCAGGGCACTTCTAGCCAGTGACATCGCTGAGCAAGCCCCCTATGCCGCCGGACCCGCCGCCGAGTAAGCTATCTATGCCACCGCTGGACCCGCCGCCGTACCCGTCGCCGGACCCGCCGCTGTACCCGCTGCTGTACCCGCCGTCATCCTTCTTTCCGGAGTCCCTGTCGGCACCCTTCTTCTTGCCGGAGTACCCGTACTTACCATCCTTCTTCTTGCATTTGCTGTGACCTGCGGAGAAGGCGCCCTTTGTCACTGCATGATGCTGACAGGGACTCCCTTCATGCTCGAATTCGTACATTGATTTCAGGCGCATGGGACCTGTTTTCATGGACTAATATGGGGGTTCCGGCGGAAAAAACGAGGACAAAACCGCAGTACTGCTGTTGGATTGATGCAGGCACAGGAACGGAGTTTTGAATCGAATGAGAAGTTTCAGCTCCAAAACCTTTGGGCACCCCAGTTCCAGTCGCGTTTCCACATTGCAGAGCACACAGTGATGCTGTCGGCTTTGAAAGAAAGACGTATAGACAACACGGCAAATGCCGCCCTAGAAGGATATTGGATTATCGGCAGCTCTGCAAACTCACGGCAGTAAAGAATCGGAAACTCACCGCATCCAAGAAGCTTTCTGGACTCAGAGACAATGCCTGTGCCAAGGGGTACAACAGTCAGTACATCATCTGACCGATCTTCGTCTAAAATCACTTGGAACCAACCCATTTAGCAATTAGCAAGCATCTCGCCGTGTGTGTCTCCTTTAAATGAAGATGTTCGAGCAGATATGTCGCTTCATGTTAACATGGACGCCAGGCACGGACGACGGATCGCCGTTTCCGGGATGCCGAGGTAGCGGCTGCGCATATGCACAGACACACGGCCACCCCCAGTGCCCATGTGCTGCTTCTCTGGAGCCTCAAATTCCACGGCGATTTCGTTGAATGGCACACGGGCTGTCATGGCATCGAGCATGTGCACGTACGCAGTGGCGCGTGGACATGAATCCCCTTGATCTAAACTGCCGGGATGCCGCCCATAGCGAGGTTACGACAACGCCCACGCGAAACGCACGACCACGATTGGAGATTGTCTTGCCAAGTAGGCCTTCCTCGCGAAATCGGGATGCGGGGCATCCCAGAAGCGCAGCATCTCGGTCACGCAAGGCTCTCGCCTGGCGCAAGGGGTGGAGAACAAGGGTGGTCCGACGGACTGCGCACCCCCTTGGCACGATGGCGCGTGCATATAGGCACATGCGCGCAGTGCGCGCACGCAAATTTGCACCTGGCACAATCGCTCCGGCTCTCACCTTTCTCCGCCGAGGGTTCATCCAGCTCCATCCCGCTCGCCGCGATGATCGCGCACGCCAGCACCAGCACCAGCAGCACGCGAGGCGCCATCGTGACGGAGCGGCCTCAATACCCGCAGCAAAGGTAAACGTCCCTCAGAGGCAACGTCGAGGGGCGCTATGGCCACAGGCATGCCACCCCGCCCTTAAGTATCCAAACCAAGACCGAACAGCTGTGGCTTTCAGCTGGCGTGGCGTGCACGAGCGATGAACATCACCGTGACGCCCGGTGTCTGGCACGCCGCGCCGGCGTGAAGCCCCCTCTGTGATCCCGCATTGCATTGCAGACAGGCGGCTGATGAATCTTTGAAAGGACGCATGTGGCAAATGAGTCGTTACGCGTTCGATTCGCCGACCCGGAGATGGGCTGCCGGGATGCGAACTTCATTACCGGGAAACAAGTCGCCCCGGCCCGGAGCCTGCTGGGCTCCGGCCGTCGCCTGCCGACGACCCTATCGGTCAATGCACCGATGGCGCTCTTCAGCAGCCACCGGGCAGTAATCAAAGTGAGAAAGCGGTACTGTGGTCCACGAAGTTTGCAACACATTGCCGCCCTTGCTGACGAGCTCCCTTGTTGCGGCCCGCCTCCGTTACCGCTCAGGGCACAGGCACATGCCACGCGTCAGATCAATCAGCAATCTCTCCCCTGGCAACTGACAAGCGTTGGGACAAGCGTTGGCGCCGGGAGTCCACGAAGTTCGCAACCAACTTACTGACGAACTCCTTTGCTGCGGCGCGCTTCGGTTGCTGCTCAGGGCAAAGGCACATGCCACGCGTCAGTTAAGCCGGCAATCTCTCCCAGCTGGCAAGCGTTGGCGCCGGGAGTCCACGAGGTTCGCAAACCATTGCCGCCCTTGCTAACGAACTCCCTTGAGGCGGCCCGCCTCCGTTGGGGCTCAGGGCAAAGGCATACGCCACGCGTCAGATCAATCAGCAATCTCCCACCTGGCAAGCGTTGGCGCCGGGAATCATTAATGTAATGGTTACTGTCGCAGGGCCATCCTTTCGTATATCAGTGCGCCCCTCAGCCAGGTTTCCGATGGGCGCCGCGCCCGCGTGACGCGACAGACACCGAGCGTCACAGCGAAGTTCATCGCCCTTGCAGCGAACGCCGGCTCCACGCCAGCTTGACCCAGCAACAAGTCTGTCTCTGCTTCGGATACATAAAGCCGGGGCTGCATGACCCTGGCCACAGCACACGACAGTGTTGATTTGGAGGAGTTTTCCCGCGACTGGAGGTTGAGGCGGCTTTGAGACAATGGGGTCTCGCGGTCTGCTGCTCCTGGCGCTGGCGTGCGCGGCCGTGGCGGGGAATGGGCTGGAGCCGGGCGACTCTGCGGCGGCTGAGGGTGCGATCTGTGTCGTTTGGTCGTGGCGTCGGCATGCACCATGAGCTGGGGTTCGGTCCCAGGGAGCGGGCAGTGCTAAGGGGCTCAGTTTTAGAGAACCTCTGCTGCATGAGCTGCGCGGAACGCGTTGCTGCCGTTGCGCGATGCGCTGACTGTGCATGCCTTCCCGTGAGCTGCAAATCACTAGGAAAAAGGGGCCAAGTAACACTTTTACGAACACACATAAAACACATTTCATCAACGTTCTGCACGCTAAGCACACAAAAATAACACAAACCCGTAAACTTTGTACACGTTTGAACACATGTTATTTGGCCCTTTTTTCCCCTAGTGAATTGCGTGCGGATGTCACCCAACATGTGTAGCAACGAACGTGCCATCGTGCCTAATGGCGAGAATGGCATTGGCCTCCCTTGTTCTCCATTCCTTGCACCCGGCGACGGGCGTGCGGGGATGCCATACTCCGTTTCTGGGACGTCTCGCATACCAATGTTACGTGGAGGCCCGTCTCGGCATGAACGTCTGCCAACAGATTGGCACGATTAACCTTACGCGACCTGTTCGCGTTGCAACGTCGTGTTTGGCGGCGTACCATGTTTGGCCCAGCAATTTCGATTACCGATACTGCATGTCCATGTGAATGCTGATGTGCCATGGCGATTCGTTCGCTACTTGGTGGAATCGCCTCGGACTTGGAGGCTCGAGAGGGGCTGCGCGGCGGGCACTGAGCGTGGCCGTCTTTTCCATGCACACGCCCATCCGTTGCCTCGGCGTCGCCGTCGCGACGATCTGTCACCGATGTCTGGGGTCCATGCGACGAGGATCGACAAATCTGCTGGAATCATCTTGTAACTGTGACATCAGCGATTCGCACTCATCGCGTGAGTGGATGGCGCCCCTCATGTCAACCGCGATGGTGGTGGCGGGCTTTTGATGGGGGAGAAACGCATCTATGGAGAAGGGCATGCTTGCTAATTCGTGGGCGGATCCTCAAAATGTTTTACTGTAGTAGTTTGAGAGTGGGAAGATGGTGTACTAACTCTTGTGTTGCTTGCACAGACCTTGCCTCTGCGTCCAGAAAGCTTCTCGGCTGCGGTGATTTTCCAAATATTTTTGAATATTAGATACATTTTATTATTTGTGCGCTGTGGATTTGTGGAGCTACTGACAGTTCATTGTCCTTCTGAGGAGTAATTTGCCGAAATGTCGAATGTGAACGCCTGCGACCTACAGTACCGCTCTGTTTGCTCTTCTTGCCGCACGACCATTCGAGCCGGATCCGGAGATCGCATCTGCCTGTCCACCAAAAAAACATCAGTACTCCGGCTGCCACGTCGCGTTCCCCTACCTAGCATGTTGGCGTGGAGATGACCACCGTGAGGTCAAGAACAGACCAACGATGGAGCAAGTATTCGACCATCTCCAGAACTTGCCAGACGACTTTTCACCCCCGTGTGATGCTTGAATGCAAGTTGTACTGTCAGCACTTGCTAGTAATGCGTGCGGTTTTGTTGTAGCAAACAACATAGAATGGGATTCACGCCTGCTAACCTGCAATGTACACAACCCTCTTCAGATTTTTTTGAAAACTTTGCAATGTGTGCGAAGCAGGCCATCAACAAGATTATGAGATTCGCCCACCTGTTTTCCAATTTATTGTTTATGTTCAAATGGGAAGCAGGACAGTCGTACCTGTGTGCCGTCAAGAATTTGTGCCGGAAGTACGTCCTTTTATCCGTTAGATTTATGGTCGATTAGTACTGTGCCATCTTGTCGGTGTGTGGGGAACCATTTTCAATGAATATAGCTATCGACTTCACCAGCGTCCTGTTTCTTTCCGGACTTTCGCTTGAGCACATGACTGTGTCACATGTCACAATTTCATCGGGCATGGTTGAAAGCCCCTTCAATACTCGCAGGTCGCACCCATTTGCATCCCAGATGCGGGGCCACCTGGATGTGAGGAGCAAATTGCAGACATGATTTACAACTGCAGAGCGCTGTTGATATGTGTAAGTGGCATGTTCCTAACACTGTAACATCTTATGGCAGGGGCATCAAGCCCTTCAAGAGGGACTTTGCTGCAGTCTCATGGACACGGCGTTGCTCTGATGGGGATTTCCAAGATAGGGAAGATGCCGCAGGCACAGACCCAATATCAACAGGAGGCAGCTGCCTCATGTCATAAGTAGCAGACCGTTGTGTGCTTCTCTGTTTGCAAGCTTTTGGTCCATATTCACCTCTAGTTTCCATCAATAGCCTCTGTTTAAATCCTGCAGCTAGCCAATATAAATAATATGCTTCTCTGTCAACTTTGCTAATCCATCTGCTCCATCTGTCACTGGGACGATCTCTGGACGTGCTGGCTTTTATGAGGCATATGGACTAGGCTGAACATATGCTGATGCACTATCCCATTCATCAAAAGAGTGTGAACCAGAATGTCGCGCCAAAAGCGCATCGCAGGAGCCTTGGCACACAAATGACTTGTTGCTCTAAACCGTTTGGATGTTGAGATGCTTATGCTGACCAGTGTTCAGGATGATACTGAAATGGCAATGCAAGGCCTCCAAAATGTGCAATATAACCACAGGATATGGGTTTTCTGAAATTCCAGCTTGAAAAGGCAAGCTGGATGAAAAAGTCACAATGTGCAACTCCTCAGCAGTTGGAGGAGTTCGGCTGTCAACTGTACAGGGTCCATAAACTTTTGGTCTGCCACAAGAAGCCGTTCGATGTGCGCTACTTCCAAAGAATTGGGGATACGCATCGTTTGGTGGAGAACATCTGCAGGAGTCTGAAGTCTATCCTTCAAGAATGGGAAAATCTGGACACTGCAGGGCTGGAAGACATGGCGCCTGAGGAGTATGTTGAGGAATATAAGCAGTACTTCCACAATCTCTTGAACTGCATTCTCAAGGGCTCCTGCAGTGATGTGAGTGATGTTGTGCTGCGTCAAATCGAAGATGTGCAACGTGATCATGGGCAAAGATTGCCATTCCTGGTGATTGTCAAAGAAGACTCCCTTCGGCTTGGTCGACAAATTGGGTGCGGAATGGATGCTGTAGTGCATGCAGCTGAATGGAAGGATGGTTGCGCAACAGTGGCAGTTAAGAAGCAATACGGGCATTGCTCTATTGATGAACTTACATGTCTCGTTGCGAACGCTGCTGTTCAAATGGCCCTTAGGCATGAACACATTGTTGAAATCCATGCTGTGACCCCGTCTTGGTGGCCAGTGATGGAATTAGAGGACTCCAACCTTCACAAGTTGAGGCGTCACTACTTCGCTATGGAGTGGAAAGGGAGGCGCAATCTTCTTCTGCAGTCATCGGTTGGTTTGCTTTTCCTGCACAGCCAGTCACCTGTTTTGGTGCAGTCTGGGGTGAATCCTGCCAAATTTCATGCCTTTGGGACTCAGCCTGAGATATGCAAGGTGAAAGTTGGTGATATCAGGCAGGTGCTCCAATCGAGGGGAGAGGAAGATGTTGAAATCACAGTAAGAAGGGTAGTGCAACATGGGCAGCCCCCGAGATTTGCCTTGGTGATCATCTAAATGCTGCGTCGGACGTTTTCGGCTTGGGAGTTATCATGTATGAAATTGTGACTGAAGTCGCTGGAACGGCTTCCAGTTGCAAACGTGCCGGAGGTTCATTCTGTCTTTCGTTTCTGCGAGCAAGCCCAGGGAGCTGTGCTGCAAGCA